GTTATTCAAAAATATCTTGTACTTTTTTTGTTTGATTTGGTGGTTTGACCCCTTCCGAAGGTCGTAGAAGCTCGGGGGTGGTACCAATGGATCGGGCCTACCCACATTAGTCCAGATGGAACCAACATCCAAGTCTCTATGACCTTCAGAAAAAAAGTTATTCAAGAATATCTTGATCTCCAATGGGTTGTCATCCCTAACCCTAACCCTAACTGCAACCCTAACCCTAACCCTAATTTTCTTTTGAAATGCTGTAGAAGTGATTATCTGAAAATGTAAACAATTGCTGAGATTAATAGAAATAAAGTGTTGAATATTGATATTATCTGTTTGCCACCTTGTTAAGTCATAGCTGATAATTATTGCGAGAAATCATTAACGTGATAAGTGTCTTCATATAGATGAGTATAATTTATCATGAATAATAATATATAACTAAAGGCAAACTGAGCAAATTTGTTATTTCAGAAGAGTGTATCAAACTGGTAGCCCTTCATATGACTCAGTACCCATGAAGTAGCTCTCAGTTTCAAAAAGGTTGGTGACTCCTGATATAGAGGATGGAAAAGCAAAACAAATGTTGTTTCCTAAAAACAATTCCACATAAAATATCTGAAATGTAGCAAACTTAAAAAAGCACAATTCATTAACGTGTATCTAGATTAGCCGCTTGTCTGTAAGCCTTTTCTTTATGTACATTTGTTTGTCTTGTGTTTGTGTGTTGTATAATATACACTGCATACCTTTTGTTACCCTATAGGAATATTCTATTCCCTATTCCTATTGTTATCTAACAGCCTGTCGGTTTGATGTCATATGTATCATTTTTACTATGACATATCTTTATTGTTACCTCTGTTGCTTTTAATCTGCTGAAGTTGTTTAACTGTGTTTCCTCTTCTGTGTTTCACAGTCATTAAAACATTGCACTCTTGTTTCTTCTTCTCTCGACAGAAAGCAACAAATGTATAGCCAGAAACTTTGGCTACGGCTCCGTGGTGTGTGAGTGTAACTCAACGTACTGTGACGGGGTCGGGTCCGTGACTCTGCCCCCGCTGGGACAGTTCTCCTCCTACCTGAGCAGCATGGCGGGCAGCAGACTGGAGTCGGGTCGGGGTCGGGTCCAGGTGAACAGCACCGGGACAGGTGAGTGTTGTGGGCTCATTGTGGATGTCAGTGACGTTTGCACAAGTGCAGAGCATCTCGTGTGTATGTGTCTCTTTCAGGCCTCAGGTTGACCATCGTTCCCTATCAGAAGTACCAGAAGATCCGGGGTTTTGGTGGAGCGATGACAGACGCAGCAGGAATAAACATCCTGTCGCTCTCTGCTGGAGCACAGGACCAGCTGCTGCGGCAGTACTTCTCCAGTGAAGGTAAACTACATGTGGTCACCTGCCTCATCTCGCAAATGCTTTGTAATACCACGGTACTGCATCAGAACAGTATGATCTTAATGTTCATTCCAGGAATATTCAGGAAGTAGATGCAAATTTATTAGTTATTATCTTTTGATATAATTATTATTTGCTGGTATATTTTTCACACATGAACAAGCAAATAGAGTTTTGCACAAAACGACAACACAGTAAAACATATATATTTATTAGTCTATCAGAGGATATGAATGAATGTACAAGCTTATCATAAGAAGTCCAGTGTCACTTGTTATTAAGGCTGAGCTCTGTGGTTTACAACTTTTACAGAATTTTAATGGGGCTATTTTTAAAATCAAAGTATTAGAGAATGGCAAATGACCACACTCATAAATATGAGTCAAACTAAAGGTTTCTAATTAAATAAGGTTTCCGGGTAAGATTTTACCACTATTGTTGCAACTGTTATCTCCAGGAGTGAATCACTGCAGAAAGTTGTTGATCCACTGGGGTTTGGTTAGTCATAATATTGAGGGATTGTTCAGCTGGCTGTGTCTCTGGCAGGTATCGGCTACAGCGTAGTGCGTGTCCCAATGGCAAGCTGTGATTTCTCCACCCGTCTGTACACCTACGCTGACTCCGCTGGAGACTACAACCTGGACAACTTCTCTCTGGCCCCTGAGGACGTTAAGACGAAGGTCTGTATTTGTCTGAAACACATGCGCACACACACACACACACACACAC